TATAAATAAATATATTTTGTGGATAGTTTAATTTTAAACATGAATCGGGTGCAATATAGTCTCCACAATCTTGAATGATGCAGGCATGGGAAATTGGTACCCAAGCCATAAAAATCTTGCTCCAAAAAAAAAAACTTGCATTTGATGCAAGCACGTCTATCCCTGGGAAAAGTGACATTAAAATTGGATTTAAAAAAAAGGAAGTATACCTGACCACACCCTGAATTTCTCAACATGCGATACCACACGTCAATAACTCTTTCAACAATACAAACAAAAACAGCCTGAAATCAATCCAACAGTTACCTTAATTTAGATTTTCCTTCCAAGCTTGTGAAAATCTTGAGTTGGTCACTATTGACGCCAATAATTTCTTGTATCCTCTAGTTGCGCTGGTACGATACGTGCGCTAGGCAGCTGTTCTGGCAAGGAGTGTGACAAACAGGCTTAGATTGGTCTCACTTTATGGTCGTGTTGATTGTCTGAACCGTACTTGAATATTAATGTTAAATATGTTAAATAAATGTTAAATACCTCTATAACTTACAGTACAGTTGGGAGAAACAGATCATGTGATATTTAACTGGATACAGAGTGGGCGTGTATCAGAGTATCATTCATAAGTTTATAATGCACAATATTTATAAATGTTTGTATTATAAACAGAGCAATTATATATGTTGTGGACAGTTTAATTTTAAACATGAATCGTGTGCATTATAGTCTCCACAATTTTGAGTGATGCAGGCTTGAGAAACTGTGATACACAAGTATACCAGACCACACCCTGAATTTCTCCAAATACCACACAGTCACTAACCTATTTTTCAATCTTTCTGCAATACAAACAAAAACAGCCTGTACTCAAGCCAAAAGTTACTGAAGACTTACATCAAGTTGAATCTGTGCACCCAGTCAAAAATTGGGTTGACAGCTCCAATATTTCCAGCCCCGTACATGTCTAACTGTTACATGTACCTATCACTGACTAGTATACATGTAGCTATAATAGAGGAAAGACAGAGTCAACAATTACACAGTCACACACAAATCAAAAGGTATACTTTTATTTTGTATTTTTTTTCCAAAACTTGACTCTACTCAACTTGGTACAGGAATTTCCAAAAGTTGATTATCTTACAAAATGGTCGTTTTTTTTATAAGGTTCATAAGAGTTCCACTTGATTCAAAGGAACAAACTCGATACACTGAAAATAGTTATGACATGAACACTGTACAAATGGGCATGTACACCTGTGTATGTAATAGTGATGACATTCTTTCCTTATTAGCACAATGCAGTTTTCTCCCATTGCCAAAATCGCAGTGGAACAAAAACTATATAAATGATACATACATAAACCTTGGTGTAAAATAACCAAGCTTTCATATTAATAGCATCTTTACATCACTGAACCAGAAGTACATAAATGTAGATGACAAGCAAAAAGGTTATCAACATCAGATTAAAACATCTAAAGCTTTACATAACTTTGTTCACATACGACAACAAACGAAAGAATCAACAAGAACATGACTTAAAATAAGATTTACAGCAATTTTTTTTTGCACTATCGTGGTTTATACGAAACAAAAGATCCCTGGGTTTTAATCTCTTGTTTGATGGAATACTAGTTTCATAAAAAATCTGGAATATTGTTACATTTTGCACTACCTAATTTCTGCCACTATTACAGTGATGAAGATGTCTCTATGTTAATGTTGTAATCTAAGAATAACAAGGCACCTTGGGGCAATTTCTACAACACTATCTGTACAACATTTACTCAAAGTCCTGCCATAGACTTGGTCTCAAAGAAAGATGAACAAAAAAAAAAGGCTTTCCTTACAGTAGCAGCACAACTTTTTTATAACTGCAGATGAAACAAAAGTGTTCGAATATTTCCACTTGTACAGTAAGTCATCCGGCAGCTTCGTTATTTTTTTCTGACAATTACGACTCTTGTGGAATGTGAAAGTGAATCAACACAAAGAGTTCAGCCATTAATTCTCGATACCAACGACGAGTTCGGAACATAAGAGAAAAGGCAAAACACTTTCACAGCCTGCATGGGACGCTGCGTCACAATTACAACTTCTTCACCCTGTTTTAAATTTACAAATGGCAGAAAGCTTATACAAATAAAACACTCGGCAACAATGTCGGAAAATGTGCATAATATGATTCAGTACACTTTCTCCATTCTCTCTTGGCGACAAAAATAGCTTCCCCAACTAAAATACTTCCTTCCCCTCTGTACAACTTCTCATTTTTTTTCTCTCTCACTAATTTGTGGTCTTAAATATTGACTTCTTGTTCCTGGTAGAGTTTTTACATTTCAAACAAAATGGTTTGATGTACACAAAAATCGAAGGCAACAGTTGCAGCACCTGGCTATACATTATAAAAGGAACCACGCAGAGGCATGTATGCAAACCTTGCAGCTACGTACGTTAGCTATGGAAGAGCTCCAGTGTTATTGCATATTTTTGCCGAGAGGCTATCATCAACTCTCGAGTCGCCACGATGCCACGCTTGGGTCCAAGTTAAGAAGACAAGAATTGAAATGTTCCAGTACACACTGTACAAAGCAGCCCTGATTGTCAACCACAAATTGACATCAGTTGTAAAAATTTGTACAGCCATTTTTTTTTCGCAACCCCCCTATTTATACTTACTCCTTTCCACCTCTCGCCTGCCTTGTTACATACCCTCAGTCATTCTGTCTACATATATCTAACTGTGGTCATGGAAAACAGTCAACCTACGTAAACCTTCCTCGGATCCCCCTTGCGGCACGACTTGGTACTGCTTCATTGCACCTTTTTAACATCCTAGGCACCGTCACTCTTCCCTACAAGTTGTATTGCAAACATGTTTAGAAAACTGCAGTCCTATGGCTTGGTTTTATCTAGGATTTCTTCCTTTTTTTTCTCTTCCAATCTGTACATTTTATTAAACAACATGCAATTTATTTGCAACAATTGGCTAGCATGTTGCTACCATTGTTTAGCCCTGATTTGGTGGGTGGGAGGGAGACAACATAGTAAAACGTACATAAAACATATCTTCTCTCAATGCCCTGTATGTCAGGATCTTCTAGCTATACAATTTACAATGGCTGTACTGTACTTTGGTCCACGACTGCATGGCACTAACTCCCCTTACACAACACTAGTAACGCCAGCACTGTACAAGTCTTTGTTTTTGAGCTGAAGAAATCATGATACACCGTCTTCTTGATTTTTTTCTTTCACCAAGAAGAAAGTGGGCAACATTAAGTTACGTATTGCTTCATACATTCCAAGGAAACATAAAAATATCACTAAATGTTTTTACGTGAAAAAAGCTACCTTGACTAACAATGCATGAAGGATTAAAACACAGAAAATGCTGCCTCAAAAAAGAGAAGTTTTGCAAACAATGCCTGATCGTAAGGAAATCAGATTCTTGTAAAGCTACATATTGCAATTAGCTTTCAGTTTTATCATTATGGCATAAAATTCCATACAAACACGGAAAAAATATTCCCACATTCTCAGGAGTCCGAATGCTCACTCAACGAACAATATTAATGTTATAAGAGCTCTGAGATGAAAATATCTCTTCAGCAAGTATACAAAAGATTATGTGCTTTCATAATGTACAATGTACAGGCTTTGTTATAACATTTTCTACATTTCCTCGTGTTGTTTTGGAAGGGCATCCCCCGTCATAATTTAAAACGTCGGCGACGCGTTTTTCGCACCACCTTAGAGCAGAGAACATGACATACTATTGCACAGCCTTTAATACTGTTGCAGCATAGGTCAAGACTAAGTGTCCACTGCCACCGTTTTTTTCTAAATTTACCGAGCACAAGCCAGTCCGGCTCCGGCTTTCTCCTAAAGCTGCGAGTCCAGGGAGAAGTGTGCTGAGGGTGTTCATACTAACACTGGCGCAACAACCCCACAAAGGTGTTGCTGCAGCACACTGAGCCCTATCTGGATGTGCCGTGGCTGCTGTTGTTGTTGCTATTGCTGGAGCTGTCTCTGGCCTGTTGGTGCTGGGGTTGTTGTTGTTGTTGTTGTTGTTGGGGGCGTCTTCTCTTCTTGTTGGAGGCGTTACGGAAGTTCTTGTTGTTGGGGTGGGGGGGAGACTGCTTGTACTGCGTGCGGCCCTGGTTGTGCGAGTGGTGCCACACTCTAGACTGACCCATGTGCTGAAGGGAGGAAATAAGAACAATGAACAGCTTCAGCATGAAAGTTCTTCTGAGTTGGTAAATTACATTATGAAAAATTTAAACCGTTCTCCAACTCAAAATTTGACTCACGACTTTTCGACTGAATCACTCAGTCTTCCTCAGCTATCTGACCCAAATGCTGTGGACACGTGATTTTTCCCAAAATGCATGTGATCATTCATGCTTTTTGGCATACATCACTTTAGAATTTAATAATTTGTAACTCATATATTTTGTATATTGATTTGTTTATAGAAGTACATAGCAGTGACAAGGCACTGAATTGCGTACAAGTTTGCATAATTGCATTAAAAACTACACACAACAAATACAAAAGCCACACAAATAGGTACAATCAAACAATAAAAAGACAAAGCACTGATACCAACTGTACATACTTGTGGCTACTTTCAGACAAGAAACACATATTCTGGGTTCCTGCACATTTTTTTTACACATCTAGCTAGTTTTTCCACCCTACCTGTCTTCTTGTATCCTCTCCGCTGTGAGATGAACTGTTAACCCTCTGTGCCCGAGGCCCTCTGTTGGGAGTGTTGGGTCGACTGCTGTTATTGGAGTTGCCAGCCGTGCTTGTGGACACAGTGTTTTGTCTCACCGGGGCGGCAACAGTTGTGGTGGGGGCGGGGGCAGGGGCAGGGGCTGGGGTGGGGGGGCACACGGGGGTCTCTACCGGCGGTACGTCAGCAGTTCTTGTCGCGGCGGCGGTGGGCGTGACGCTTCTCGTTGTTGCCACGTGAACGGCCGTTGTTGTGGGCGCGGCAGCTGCCGTCAACTCAACGTTGGAAGAAGAAGGGTAAGAAGAAGTCTCTTTTGGGGCGGTGGTGATGACAGCGGGCGCGGTTGTTCTCGTTGCCGTGGCCGGTATCGTCTGGGCGTTGCTATCGTTCGCCGCCAGGGCAGGAGTTGCACCCGGTTTCGGGGACGGCGTTCCAGTCTTGTCGGGAATGCCGGTGACGCCGTGGGGGGATAACGATGACGATGATGATGACTCTGAGCTGGAATCCTGTAGAATAGGGAAGGAACAATGTCATTTGTCTATTTTATTCACATTTATTTATTGATGATTGAGCAAGAAGAAACAATCCTTCAAGACCATCTTTCTTTTTGCTGCACTTGCTACCACTGTGATTGTATAGTTTCTGAAACAAGTTCATTTTTCTCAGACCACAAACTTTTTCTACCATGCACATAACGTAACAGAATAATTTGAATGCGTTTCACGCGCACTGAGTGTGGTGCTTTCAAAACTTTGAACACTGAATGCGGTGCTGGAATTGACGCCGTTACACTTTTTGTTTAGATACACCAGATTTTGACACATTGAAATGTCTGTTTTCTCGGGTGGGTATGACATAAATAAAATACAACAGGTTGTATTCCACATCACCCTCAGCCCTCCCGTGAATCGGATCTCCCTCTGGCCTTCAGCCGACCCGCAGTTGGGCTGGTACCTCGGGCGATATGAAATACACTGTGTAGTATTCTATATTTGCAAATAAACAGTAAACAAAAAAAAGAGAACTGACGGTGTCGCTGTTGGACGGCGATGACGACGCGCTCGCGGAGATGGAGGATGCGGGCGAGGAGGCCTGGCTGGAGCTGGCCGAGTGGCTGGACATCTCCCCGTCCGATACCATCATGGCCTCCGACCCGGCCGAGTCCGCTGACCCCGCCGCGCTGTGGGGCGTCAGGGCCTGTGTCTGCAGCTGGTTACTGTGGTTGGCCTGGGAAAGAGAATGCTTTATTTATTCATTTATGGTTTGGAAATGTAGGAAAAGAAATGTACTTGTAGTTGGTTACTATGGTTAGCCTGGGAAATACGGAAACAAGTTCAGAAACTGGTGCTGGCAGATGAATAAAAGTTCTAAATGGGACCATGCAGCTCTAGATATCTTACTGAGGGACCACTAAAATCATTAGTTTACAAATTGTGGCATCGCATGGCATAATGGTCATAGCATTCCGCTCGAAACCATGAGGTCCCAGGTTCAATCCCCTGACATGCCTGATGTTGTGCACTTTATATGACTTTCCTCAGTCATTGTATGGTACAGTGACGCCCTCGGGCCTACTGGCTTATTGTTAATACCTGTGACAAAAACTGATGAGGATTTGGTGTCGCCAATGTGGCACGACTGCATGGCACGAGCCAGGTACTGGTAGTGGTACATCTGCCAGTAAGAACGGAATTTTTTTTTTTTTATAAAACGTACCTGGTTCTGCATGTGTATCTGGTGCTGCATGTTGTGTACGTACCTGGTTCTGCATGTGTATCTGGTGCTGCATGTTGTGTACGTGGGGCATCCTGGCCACGCTGGCGTAGGTGGGCTGGGTGAGCAGCGGGTTGGGCGGGATGGTCTGAGACCAGTTCTGCTGGATCCACTGCCGGTACTCCACAACTTCCTCCGTCACCTTCACTATCCTGCCCAGGATGCTGTAAACACAGGAAGGCATCAATAAAATTAATCTGTGTTAGTTTGTTTAAACTTGCATCATCTTGGAAGTTTATCTGTGTTGGTAGAAGACATTATGAAACAAGTTTGAACTGCAACACAACCTATGATCCACTGCTCACGGAGTCACGTGTGTTATCCACGTGACGTCACGGAAGCAGTGGATTGCTCATTCTTTGACAAAGACTGGAGTTGTACAGTCAAGAATTTGGGTAAGTCCAATTTCTTGTGATGTAAATCTCAGTTCAAACTTGTTTCGTAATGTTTAAACTTTTGATCACACAGACACTACAATGTACATGTAGTAAGGTAAAAGAATGTTCAGTCTATAGATTTTTAGTAAGAATTAAACTAGTGGGACCTTAAACTTAGAAAAAACTGGAAGCACTTTCTGGTTTGTTCCAGGAACATACAATGTAAAATTCCAAAACAACATTTGACTCTTAGACAATATACGTTGAGCTTTCATGAATAAAGTATGGTTCAAACAAACAAACAAACAAACAAACAAACAAACAAACAAACGCTGATGCTTACCTGAAATTATTGGACGCATAGTACTGCTTATTGGACGATACTGCGCGGGACAGTGTGATGTAGGCGTAGTCGAAAGCTGCCTTGACCTGCATGGCGCCGTACGAGCTCCGCCCGATGTCGTTGCCCTGGTTGAGAGGGTCCTCGATACACAGCATGGAGGGGCGGTACCCGTTATCCATGTTCACCTGCATCTGACACAAGGCACATGACAGCAATCCCAGCCGGAAACAGGTGTCTTTAACCCTTGTGCTACTGACATTTTTTACACAATATTTTCCAATAATTTCATGTCTTTTTGCCCAGTGGTAGTGTTATTACTTCTGCATTTGCTGCGTTTCTCTGTGGTGTTATGCATTACATGAGAAATACCCCAAACCGTACCTATACAGGGTGCTATATGAATGGTTCTGTATGAGCAACCCAACAATCATTGGGCACCACAGGACTAGGGTTTTAACAGGACTAGGGTGCAACACAACAGCTATCTGTATAGCCGGTATAACTGCCCTTTAGTGTAACAAACCAGCTTCTGTGTCTGTATAGCAGTACAACTGCACTTCAGTGAAAAAAGCCAGCTTTGTCGCCCTAAAATTGCATTGGATGCCTTTATCATTATGTTAAGGCCCACAGGAATAACAGCTGAGATGTTAAGCTAAATTATGGATCCTACTAAAATAACTAAATCAAAAGTCAGAAGCTTCACCCACCTCCTCTTTGGTTATGTAGGCTCCCCCATCCTTGATCCTGATGCCAGTCTGAAGGTAGTTGAAGTTTCGACCGTACAACTCGAAAAACTCGATCAGCAGAACTCCGAGGTTGGCACTGGGAGAGGTGGCATCGTACCTGGGGTGGAGCTGGAACGAAACGGAAAAGTATTTCTTAGAATCATACATTAGAAAACCAGCAGATTTCCTTTTCCTATTGGCCTGACCTGGTTATGCAGTTTGTTATTGGTTGATTCAATTTTACTGGACTTGCCATTTAGTTTGTGATTGGTCAATTGAAATTTACTGGACTCGAATTTGACCCGAATGCGCCCTGAACACTGCTGACTTACTCCCGAATGGTTGGTTGGTGTTCTACTGACTTACCATGGTCGAACCTCCTGATCAACCCCCCAATGTTTAAAACATACTGGCACAGCCGAATAGTAGCCGAATTTGCCAAACACAAGCTGACTTTGTGTCAGTCTACTCCTAACCGTGGTTGTGTGGCGTTTGGCTAGAGTCCATGAGGTTATATTGAATGTGTATAAAGGCTTTACCTGTAAAACTTGCATGAGGACACTTATATTTTCAATGTCAATGTTGGAAAATGAATTGTACAACATTTCTTCACTTAGGTGTCAGATCATGGAGCTAGAAAGGTTGATCGGTCCCTTGCAGAGGGCCGGAGGTCCACAGCCATTTTTTGTAGGGTCGGTCGGGAAACAGTAAACACAACATCTTTTATCCTAGGCCTTACCTGTAGAAAGCTAACGGTCATGAGGATGAGGCTGTAGGAGCTGATGCCTCCGGTGAAGACCTCGTTCAGGTCCCGCTGCAGCAGGAACTGTTTCAGCACCAGCACCAGGTACTTCAGCGTGGGGTAGTCCTGCATGAATTTCTAACAACAAAGAAAGAAAACAGGATTTAAAAAAAACATGACGGAAAACATGCTTCAGCACCAGCACCAGGTACTTCAGCGTAGGGTAGTCCTGCATGAATTTCTAACAACAAAGAAAGAAAACAGGATTTTAAAAAAACATGACGGAAAACATGCTTCAGCACCAGCACCAGGTACTTCAGCGTAGGGTAGTCCTGCATGAATTTCTAATGGCAAACAAGAACACAGGAATCAGTGTGGAATCTGTTCTCTGTAACTTCAGCACCAGCACCAGGTACTTCAGCGTAGAGTAGTCCTGCATGAATTTCTAACAACAAACAAACAAACAACAGGATCAGCACCAGCACCAGGTACTTCAGCGTAGGGTAGTCCTGCATGAATTTCTAACAACAAACAAACAACAGGATCAGCACCAGCACCAGGTACTTCAGCGTAGGGTAGTCCTGCATGAATTTCTAACAACAAACAAACAAACAAAAAACAGGATCAGCACCAGGTACTTCAGCGTAGGGTAGTCCTGCATGAATTTCTAACAACAAGCAAAAAAAACAGGATTTGAAACTAGAAAGGTAACATTTGCAAAGTCAATGTATAATGTTTACCTTTGCATATGATCTGCTCTGTTAATTCTTACTCAAACACATCCATATATATGGTGACAGGGGTCTAAATCCTTCCTGCTATAGAATTGCAACATGATGTTCACCTTCACATAGACTAGCCTAACAAACAATTTTCATTGAAGTACATGTACTTGCACAACTGTGTAAAAAAACTAATAACCACAACACACTATCCATTGTGGTTGTTTCAGTAAGAATCATGATAATGAAATAGCATGTATACCGTTTTCTCATTTTCAGAGTTTACACCTGTAATATCATTGATTGCATTGTGAACAGCATAAAGTAGACGTCTAGTGGCCTGTAAGACCATTAATGTACACATGAAGTTTGAAACAAAACACAAAACATCTTACCTTGATAAGTTTGGCACTCTTGACTCCGTTCGGCATGTTGAAGCTTATGTCCACTTTCACGTCTGTTTTTCTGTCAGTCAACTTCACAATAGGGACCTGTACAGCAAGGCAAACAAACGCTTACCTATACAGTTGAACATTAATGAATTGGCTTTAAGCTGCTTGGTCATACAGTAGAGTTTGAGAATAAAACAAACATATACTGAGTACTAAGGCTGTTTACATGAACGATACTGAAAAAATCTTTCAGAAACAGGTTCAAAATATGGCAAAAAGCAGTTACTCAAGCAACTAGAGAGGATTTTGGAAAAATCGTATTCAGTTGCTTGAGTAACTGCTTTTTAGTGTATCTTGTTATATTACTTGGATGTCTAACCTTCATCGAGGCAGGTTCAAAATAATGTTAAGGTTTGCAGTTCTATTCAGGATAATAACATAATTCACCATCATATCTTTACCAAAATAGACTATAAAAAATATAACATAGGAATAAAACACATAGACTAGAGATTGAGCAATTTGTTTTTTGCAGTGTTAACTGACCGTTGCCTTGTCCAACACCTTGATACTGTCTGGATCTGCAATGTTGCTATGCCGGAGCTCCTTCTCTAGCCTAAAAAGGGGCAGTGCCTCCCAGCTGCCAAACACCACCAGGTCTATGTCACTGCAATGGGAACAGCACGAAAAGGTGCCGCGTTAGAGGGCTGCGGATTGAGGCTATGCAATATGCATAAAATGTCTGATTCTGAATAAAACTAGTATACATATACCCTCAGAAATGCCACCTGTGGTTAGTGCAGGTAAAACTGGAGCTGTGCAGGTATTTCTGATGTCTACCTGCACCTAACCTGCACTGGTCCATGTACTGGGTATATGCAGGTTAGTGCAGGTAAAATTGGAGCTGTGCAGGTATTTCTGATGTCTACCTGCACCTAACCTGCACTGGTCCATGACAAAACAAGCCCCAGACACTAGTCTAGGGGGAAAATATGGTGACCGCAGGTGGTCAAACTCAAACACTGCCTTACAATCAAAATAACATTCAAAAGACATAAAATATCATCAATGTATTATTCACACAAAAATAATATTGTCTAGAATGTAAATTGCTGTCAATGATAAAGACATCCAATACCAAAGTTTAGCATATAAATTAAATTACTATAGGCATGTCAATATCAATTAAGATATTAATATTTAGGAAACCTTTTTGCCCTAGTTATGTCAAACACGAGAATAATTAGTTTGAGTCATAGCTGATAAAGGTACAGAGTAGCCACAACGCTATCAATGAAATGAACACATTTGAACCTTCATACTAAGTGTAAACTTGCATGCCCAATTTTGGTGTAGATTAGCATAATAGTTTTACCTTACATGAACATTGAAATAGATACCATTTGCCAAAGCTTCATGCAAATGTAAGTGTTCATTTCCCTCATAATTATCTGGAATAGTTACAAATTACATGTTAAATTTGGCATAAATTTACTCCTAAACATTTTAAGAAAAAAAAGTAGAATATACGATACCATCATATTCTGTAGAATATTAAGTACTTGTAGCTTTAAAGTCAAGTGCAACTACTGTTGTTCATTTACATGTAGTAAAAATATAAATCACTTTACCTGGTAGGGAGGTACAGCCCAGTTTCAAAGCTGCCAAAAATCTCAACCTGTTACAACAGAAACAAAACAAACAATATCTTAGATACAAAGGTCAAGTACATCTTGTTTCAACAACATTGAACATTACAATGTACTTTTATTTGTTCTTTAGTTTTTTTCTGCTGAATTGACACATTTCTAAACAATTTTAAATGAAGCAAAAAGCTAGCTATCAAAATCTGTTGCTAGTTACTAGTATACTGTCTACTGTTAATTTATTTCATTTTTATGGCTTCACCAGACCACGAAGTGGTCTGGTGAAACCATATTGTTTTCTCTGATGTTTCTCCTTCTCCTGCCATTTTTTTAAAATGGATTCAGCTTCTTCATTTTGGGGCCTAAGGATCTGAAATTTGGTATGGAGGTACAGTGGGCAAATACCCTTAGGCGTTTTTTAAATTTTTGTGATACAGGCTTTTAGAATGGTTTTATTTGAGTTTTTTGGCTGTATTATAGCAAATGTATTACTGTGTCAGTGGGCAGTGTTAACCACATTTGGCATGAGTCATCACAATGGAATGCAGGGCATCAACCAATAGCAGGGTTCGAAATACAAAGGTGCAATGTGCAAATTGCACGTAATTTTCAAGATTTGCACCTAAAAATATTTTGAATGTGCAATTTTGCACCTGGACAATACCGATATATCATGTTTGCACTGCGTATCTCCGAAGTTTCTTGTGTGTCGGCATCGCGCTGGGCGCATGGCAGCCATATTGTTTTCTTTACTGAACATCCTGGGAACAAGTTGCTCTCGTCCCCAGGTGAAGACGCGAAGGCATTACGTAATGATTTACCTAATATGGCAAGACGCGAAGGCCTACGTAGCTGATTTACCAAATATGGTGAGACCCGCGAAACTTGTTGCCCGATATATATCGATGTGGTACGAAGTCCTTCGGCAGAGTAATTTCGGCTTTTTCGTCCAATTTTCGGTAAAATTCGGTGAAAAACAGAGTTTTCGGATTTCCCAGCATTCAGTGCTACCCAGGAAATTTGTAAAGCATGAAGAAGGGCCCATGAAGAAAGGGTCGATTTTCAAGGTCTTTTCACGGGCCCAGCCGGCATCAGAGGCTGGTGCAGCCGGTGGCGGTGGACCAGAGGCTGGTGCAGCCGGGGGCGGTGGATCGGGAGATGCCACCGGGTCCACCGTCTCCGAGGATCCCGCGGCCGATGTTGACGACGCGCCCCCAGAGGAGGGGGAGGGGAGCGCCAAGAAGCAAAAATCAACCGGACGTTATTTTTTTCTAAGCAGTATTTTTTTCCTTATATCGTGCACGATATTCAAGGTAAACAAATATGCAAAATAAATGAAATTTATTGCTCGCATACTGTTGGTAAATTTTTTTTATGACGAGTGAGAGGGCCGGGGGTCACTAGCGGCGTCCTTTGAAGCTAATGCCGACAAATTTATTTTGTGTTCTTTTTTATAAACACAGATGATACTTGCATTGTTCATGTTTTGTTTGGTCCCTTCTTTTAATGTATACTAAAACTTCTATATGCAGTGGCAGGCTAAGAAGGTTGATACACAGTAAAACAGTTCCAAACCTAAAGATGCAAGGCTAAATATAATTTTGCACATAAATTTTTCAAATTGCACCTAAAAATTTTGCCAATGTGCAATTTTGCACGTACCTGAAAAAAAGTATTTCGAACCCTGAATAGGCATGCAGCTTTCCTCTCTTCTTCTTGCTGATTGGCTGTTGGGATTTAACTTGATTAACACCTGCACAGACCATTTCCACCTGCACAGAGCATTTCTTGCTGATTGGCTGTTGGGATTTAACTTGATTAACACCTGCACAGACCATTTCCGATACTGACTAGTATGTACTGTATTCAAGTGTTTTGGTAGGTATTTCAAGACTTTCCTGCTCCAGCATTGGAATGCGGGGCATTGAACGTTTTTTATTATTTTGAAAATCAACAGTTTGCATTATGCAATTAAAATCCT